GGCACCACATGGAGTCACGGCAAGGAGCAAGTGAGTTGAATCCTGTCATTTCTTGAATGCTGCTGGCACATGGAAGCACTCGTAGCGGGTTAGCTGGTGTTAGCTCTGGAGAGGCCATTCTAGGAACTTTACCCCTTAACCATGTTATGGCCAAGTGTGGACATCCCCCCTCCCACCCTCCCACCCTGTCCCATTTCCCAGCAGTGAGAACTCTCTAAACTGACTCAAAGGACTTTGAGGGGGAAAATGGAAAACTGCCAACGCCGGGCAATCACCATCGCCACAGTTAGGGCTGCAGTGATAACGTCGACTCCAGACAAGCTCACAGTCACAGTCTCTCCGCCTGATGCTTTTCATTTCCTCCTTTACAAAATAAATATGGGGATAACATTACTTCTCGGGGAAATGTACGTGAGAACTCATAACTTCTGAGTTTCAGGTGGACGACTCTGAGGAGATATTTAACATGCAGCTGCAAAGCATCGTCCTGCCGCCCCGGAGAGTGTTGAAGAGTGAAGAAGAAAGCCAGCGTCCCCGTCCGCCGTGAAGCCCAGCACAGCTTTCTCCTGCTTCTGCTTCCACAGACGTCTGTCCTATAAAGGCAGCCGTGCAGAGACGCTGAGCCGTGCAGCGTTCTCAGAGCAGGCTGCTGCCATCTGCCCTGGGTTGAGAGTGACTCAGATGGGCCAGAGAGACTGGCGCTGACCTCACAACGTGGCGCCTCAGAGCTGGCGTAGGTGGGTTCACTCAGCAAAGCCAGTCACGGGAACCTTTTGGTGTATAAATGCTATGTTCACTCTAGACTGCGGTCTGTTAAGTGTGCACAGCGCTATCCTACAAGAACAATGAACGTCCCTTGGCTCCACGTGACGCGGAGTCCAGTGAGCACATGCCTTTGGGAAAATGGGGCCAGTAGGCAGGCCTGGTGCTGGGTGGCCGCAAACCCTCCATTTGTGAAAAAGTGCAACACCTGCAAGGTGCAATAAAAAGAGCCCCGCTGTTCGCTGCTCTTGCCCGCCCCCTGGACAGATGAGGGGCCCGGGGCTCAGCGGAGACAATAGACTCACTCAAGTTTCAGGATTTAGTACTTGCTGCTGCTTTTCAGGCTTCCTTCATTCGAGTCATGGGGGTTTTTTGAAAATTAGAAAAAAGTCAGTTTGAGATAAAGTCAGTCTGTGTTGGTTCTGGCGCCCACAGACCGCCTGGTGCAGCAGGCTTTGGGGAGTGGCAGCTCCGCTGAGCAAAGCGGATGCCCAGGTCGAGAGTTGAATTTACAGCCATGGTCGTAGCTGAATGTACCTGGCCCTCGCAGAGCCAGGCCTGACCGCCCGTGACTGTTTCCCCTTTAACCTGTGCTGAAGCTCTTTACGCGGTGACATGTGGCATTTGATAGTTTGATAGTATGCTGCTATCGGCATGACAGGATAGAGGGGATGTTAGCAACAGAGCTGCTGGCCAATGCCAATCCCTTCCTCTTGCTGCATCCTGGAGTCGGGTAAAGTTGGCACTGGCCCGCTGGACAGACCACTTGCCAGCTTGAATACTTGTTTTGAAATCGAACATCTCACACTGTTGATGGCAGTTTGAAGTTGTCCAAAATAAACAAGCTTGCCGCGTTCTCTTCCTTGGTTATCACTGTTTGAGAGTCACGTTCTAGTGAATATAACATACCTGTGTTAGGTAAATGACCCCGAAGTTGTTCTGATTCCTTTGTGACAGCTCAGTCACCTTACAAGATCCTTTATCTAGTTTAAATCTCAACCAGATTTGACTAGAAACTGGATTTTGAATAGAAGCTGGAACGTCTCAGGCCTGTGAACATGATGGAGCTCGTAACCCCTGCAGTGCGTGGCCTGGTGAGGTCACCCGTCAGAGGGGCATGAAGGAGGCAGCTGGAACTGAAGTTGCTGAATCGTGCCTTCCTGAGGAGATCTGTTGGTGCTCATCCTCAGTATCTCAGAGTGTGATTTTTTTTTTTAGATGTAGTTATGCATACAGAACTGGGGTACAGACCAGAGGTGCAGGGGCAGTGAGAGGATTCACCAGAGACAGAGTGCAGAGTGGGGAGCAGAACAGGCAGGTCGACGAAGTACACTGATGAGGGGAGCAGCGGGCGGGACAAGAGAGGTGTGCTGCGCCCTGTGGGTCACTCCCTGGCTGGGGATCAAATTCATGCTACAGTGGCTGCAGGGAGCTACATGGTGCTGACGCTTACTCCCTGTGCCACTAAGGAGGCCCAAAATCTCTGTTGTTTTGAGCCATTAAGTGTATGGTACTTTGTTATAGCAGCAGTTTGTTTTTGTTTTGTTTTGTTTTTTAATAATATAATAGTTTATTTTTACATCATTGTGTGCCTTTTTCCATCTCAGCTGTCATCCCCGTGGGCTTCCCATCACCAAATCACCCGTATGCCATCACCATAGTCCAGTGCGTTTCCCTCCCCCTACTGTTTTGATCCCATTCCCCACGCCACCCCCACAAAAATAGCAGCAGTTTTTTTAAAAAAATCTTACGCGGTGACGGAGCTGCCCAAGGGTCTGCTTGGAAAGAGTGAACTTGAAGGATGTCCAGAGGGGCTGAGAGTGCTGGACAGAGAAGGACGTCCATCCCACCTCCAAGGGAGTAGGGAGTGTGGCCAGAATTAGGGGTGTGTTAATGGTGGCGTCCTCCAGAATGACAGTTTCATTGCTTTTAAAAGAGCCACTGATTCAAACTTGGCTAATAAATGTTGCCGTTAAAGTTTTTAGGACACAATTAAAAACAAATCCGACTTACCCCGTAATGGTCATATAAATTGTTTGATGGAATGTAGTTACTTCCCCAAATCACTGGATTTGGGCCCAGCAGGCCTTGCTCCACCGCGCACTGCATTCTGGTCCAGCATTCGAATGGCAAGTAACCCCCAAGTGAAGCAGTGTGCAGTGGCCAAGTTCATGCACAGCCAACCACCCTGCTGGTGTTCAAGACTCAGCTCCAGTATCGCATCACCTCCCCGGCCCCAGGCCCTCGGCCAGGGCAGTCGGTGCCTCCTTATAACTGCAGCACGCACGCACACACCACCATGTCCCCCCGTGCTCAGCTCCACCTGACCAGTGAGCCCTGGACACTGAAGGCCCAGCGGCTGCAGGCCCGCGGGGTGTTTGGCTGTGTTTGCATCAGTGTGTCCAGCACGGTGCCTGGAATCATGGACTGGATTCCCTGAGATTCCAGGTCCAGGTCCTCGAGAGTCTGCATTAGCTGCAGGCAGAGCTTGGTTTGAATCCCAGCAGGTCCCAGGAAATGAGAACTTCTCAGTTCATCTGACAGGGATCTTCATGCTCTGAGGAGGGGTGCAGGGGCGCCTTTTCTCAGCTCCGGGAGGCAGGGAGCACCCTGTGGTGGGGAAGGGCAGGCCATAGATGGATCCCCGCATCTGTGTGTGCTGGGGCTGTGTCATCCATTCCACTGCTGGGCCCTGGGCCCCGGTCATGAGG